CTGCGAAAGGCCTGGAAAAAAATGAAAGGACTTTTGAACAACCCCCATTAGTCTTTCTTTCACCTCCTAGGACTGCTTGTCCTTTCTTCGGAGATGCCGCTGTAGTTGGTCCAAAGTGTCCGACCCTTCTTGATCCAAGCAGTCAAGCCGCGCTCAGGTACAAGAGCCTCATTGGTGGTGAGCAATATGAACCAGATGAGGAGACGCAGAAAACGGTGTGCTGCAGATAGTGGGGTCAAAACCAAGCATCTGGTAATTACCGTGGATTTTTTGGGGGGTCCAGGGTTGCTCTGGCGGAACGTTGGTTGACTCGACCATTGAGATTGATGGACAACTAACTCTTCAGGTCTCACTAACTCTTCAAGTCGGATTGACCTTCATGAGACATGAGATGTGAACAACTCGAACCCAGGCGTCACATGTCGGACGGAGGAAGTCGGGGTGCCCCTGTCACATCCACTCACTGGCTGGGACGAGTCACACTACCCCGAGCTCTGTGACTCCTGGACCCTTAGGTCTTGAGATGTCCCACTCCATTTTTGCACGTGTGGTTTAGCATTGAAAGCATAGACTGTCTGTCGTCCTTTTTTCGATGTCCTTTGTGCGAAGGATGCTGAGAAGAAGACATCAATCTATCACCAAACCTCAACGGATCAACCTGTAAAGTCTCTCAAACCTCAGCCTGCACTTCGTTTTCATTTCAGGTGAATTTTCTGTGTGTTTTTCCCAGGTGTTCTATCCAACATGGTCCAACTCCTAGGTCTCACCTAGCCCCGCATTCTCCGTGCCAACGTCCAGGAGAACCCCATGATCGGCTTCCGCGGTTGTGGCCGGTACACGGACCCCTTCTTCGAGGAGTGCTTTGCCATGGAGTTGGAGGCGGGGCATGGCGTAGCTCAGCGTTTGGGGGTGGTGAGGCTTCACCCCAAAAACAGGCGGGTGGCAGCTGGGATTAGGCCACTGAATTGGTGGGATAGTTGTTCGGAGGGTCGAATGTCGAATCGACCTTCAAGCATTCGCTGGTGGAGCAGCAAAGTCTTTCTAATTCAGGTTGGTGGATATTCTCGCTCAAGATGATGATGATCTTTTTAGATGATATAAGTACTCTTCCTCTTGGCTCTTGAGATCGCTTGAGTGCTCCCTCAGCAATTTGAAACACATTCATGTCTCCAAAAACATATCCAAGAACTGATTCATGTGGAGACTTCATTCCCAGAAGTCCTATTGCATGCAGCTTCATCCACTCCCCAAGTCGATCCGACCGGGCCGCGTCAGATCTGACTTCACCCTCCGGCAGCGAATCCGATCCGATCCGTGGAGGCGGTGAAGATGGTGCGCGGAGAGATGGGACTGAAGAACGTGGAGATCATGAGCCTTGGACGGATGAGCCTTGGGAGGTTGTTTTCCTTGAAAGGAGAGGAGGTTGTGTTATGTTGTTTTCCTTGGAGAGTTGGGAAGAAGAAGACCGGAGTCACTAGATGACCCGGAGTGGAGTGGAGTCACTAGGTTGTCACCCTCCGGAGTTGGACTGATGGGAGGTTGTGTGTTATGTTGTGTTATGTTTTCCCTTTTTTTGTTGGTCGATAGATGGGAGTGAAAGCATGTGAAAGCGATGATCCCAAATTGATCATGGATGACTTATGTCCAAAACAACCAGTTGTTGATTTGGAGATGAAATGGGAAGGCTTCGAAAGATGGAGAACATCTCGGTAGACTCCTGGGTTGGTTGGATGAGACACCTTCAATTGGACATAATTGGAACCTGGAGATGGTCTTTCACCCAGATACCTGGGGTGACCAGAAACTATGGGATTGGTGACTGCCCTCAGGATCCCAGGATCCCTAAGGGTTACCATGATTTGCGGTATTTGTTTATGAAGTTTATTATCCTTCATCTCCAGGATCTTCAAGAAGCTGGATTGACCATTATCTTCATGCATTCTTTCATTGACTTTTCATTTGTTGTCGTGGCTTAAAAAGCATCTGAATGTGACATCCACACGCCTGTCCGGACGGACAAACCAACACCAAAAGACCTTCCCGGGCGGAACGCCGCGCGGAGGATTCCCTTCGTGCGGACCTTGGACATGGCCAGAGACGTGAATGAAGTCCTCGAGCCTCGAAGAAGAGAACTACAGAAGACCACCGGTGGGTTTTTGGAAGACCTTGGCGGGACGCTGTGGTCAAGAAGAATTTGCGATTTGTTAAGTGATGCACCAGCTGGTGCCAATTGCTCTGACGTCAATGGAAGTTTCTTTCAAGCATTTGGAAGCTACTCTTTTTGTTTGCCCCATGGCCCATACTCCCAACGCATTGGGCAGGTTACAAGCCATTGGGGGGGGGTGTACAAATAGGGTCTGTACGTACCCAGACGATCTACCGAACCACAGGGATGCCCTGCAAGGTTCCAGAACCAATGTTCACATCACAATGTATTGAACCTCCCCCGAGTGAACATTTGGCAGAACAAAACAATTGTTCCGCGTAATATTGCAGTATGTAATATGTGCTGATTGCCCAATCAATCATGTGCAATCTCCTGCCTTTTTGACACTCAAATGATCCACTATCTTGGGGTTGTCTCAAAGACCAAGATCAGATGTATCTATGCATAAGAAGTTGCACCTCCAAGCAAGCCACGTGGCTGCACTCAGAACTCAAAGACTTTCATTATACCCAACGGACACCACATCATTGTTCTCCTCCAATGTCAAAAGACATCCAAATGCATAATATTTGCCTACGTTGAGGTGGTTTCACCATACATGATGGATCGATTGGAAAAGATTTGGTCAACATTGGTCAACTGTTTTCTTTTGTTTTAAGGCATGCCACTGGGTTTGGAGTTCTAAGCTCCTTGGTACTTATCACCTTTCAGACAGCCTTTGCTCAGCTCAGAATCGCATTTGAGCGCCGCACAGAACTCCTCGAAACCAAGGAGAAGAATGGCCTCAAACGCGGGGAGGATGGCCTAAAGGTGGGAGCCCAAGGGAAAGGCATCAAAGCTTAACAAGGGCGTCAAGCAGATTGAGATGGCTAAGGAAACCAACATACTTGCTTTGTAAAGAGCTATTCCTGGCACACAAATGAATTTGAAGGCATACTACATGGAGACCAAATTGTTGACAAAGAGTCTGCACGTCTGCAAAATTGTTATTCCATGTTATTCCCAAAGAGTCTCTAGAGTAAGAACTATATATAATGATATTCAATATTATTCACTAATGACCCGACACCTTCGGTGAAAACCAACCACGAGGACCAACAGTCGTCGATCGAGTTATTTTGACCTGCAAAATAGCTCAAAATCACAACCGCCTTCTCAAGAAGTTCAAGATGTTCAAGAGCAAAGAGCGTTCGAATCCTCTTTGTCAGCTTTGGATATATAAATTATAAGTCTCAATTCTTCTTGCAGATCTGCAGAGCAACAGTCCTTTCCTGTTCAGGTGAATATGATGGCTGAACTTCCAAGCAACGTCTTCCTCGCGGAAGAGTTCCTGGAGTATTTCGCCGCTCGCCTTCGTCGTATCGCGCTGTTCAAAGAGCTGGGCCACGCTTGGAATCAGAGGTCACTGGAAGGGTCATCTATGATTTCTCACGGCAGTTTTTGTTCATGGCTGTTTGAGCCCTGTAATCATTTCAGAGTGTTTGACTTACAACCTTCCAGCTGGGAGCAGGGACTTGGCCTTATTCACAACAGATGCATTGACCATCATCGACTTTGCTCGCTCGGATGCTCGCTCGCCCAACGACCACGTGGGAGCCACCAGTGGGAGCCACGTCAGGACGGCTTCTCCATTGGCAGCAACGATCTGACGCAGCTGACCTTGGGACTGGACCGTGATTCAGGCGACGACGTGACGAAACGAGGTGGTGATGCACTGACCTGATGGATTCGCCGTGATTTTGGTGAAGGGATTGGCTTTTGGAGTTGAAAGATGGGACGGGCTTGTTGGAGCAAGGATTGAATCAATGTCACATGGGGTAAAACATGGGTGAAGAAAACAACTTGAAAAAGCTGATGTTGGTAAGACCAAGAAGTACTGACGCAAGTACTGACAGAGGCGACAGCAGCTTCTCAGCTGACTACAATATTAGCGCCCTAACCGAGTTCTGCACCAAACAACAACAACAACAACAGCCGAAATCAGTTGACCTCCAGCTTCTACACCCGGCAACCCGGCTTGCGGCTTCGACCGCCAACCCGCCTCGAGGCCTAGTGGCCCAGTACTTCGACGAGCGAAACCCTGCGGTGATGAAGGGTTTGGAGACCTTGATCAAAGCAGCTAAGAAGAAGGGCAAGTGCCTTGATCAAAGAAGAATGGATCAGAAGGGTTCAATTCTTAGGTTTTGAATGGCTGAATGGTTGGAGGCCTGTTGATGGCTGTTGGGTTAGGATGGGTACTCTAGGATGGATTCTTGGATGGATGGGGAGGATCTTCAGCGGATTTTTGGGTTAATTTAGTTGTCAAATCCAATTGTTCTCAGCAACTTGTTGATTGGGGAGGGTACCAAGCAAACTCCGACTTGAGGATGCGAGACAGAGATGGATGCAGATTGGTGTTTGAGCAGTGAAGATCCGACTTTTGGCATGGCACAACCTAAAAAGATCAGGTGCCCCTCGTAACATTTTATCGTGATTTGTATCGTAGGTGATCTATAATATAAATGTTCGACTGGTTGGGCATTCTCCCCATACCCATTAAGGGCCCAAACTCATGATCCTTCGCTGTGCCATTCATGTGCCTTGTCAGCCCACACTCACCCATCACACCTCATCACCCTTCCAACCAATGGACAGTTGCCGAAAGGAAGGACCAAGACTCGGCCCCGTGTTACTTGCGCTCAGTCAGCTGCTTGGTACATCGTTTGGATCCCGTTGGTTCGTTGGGGACGACGGCCCGGCACCGAGGTACGTGGGCATCTGCGGACAGGGCCCTTCCGATCACCCAGACCTCGCGAAGTGGCTCATGGAGCAGGCGGACGCCGGCGGTGGCGCCAGTCGCGGCGGACGGTGGATGGTGACGGCGGTGGGTGATCTGTTGTTTGACTCGGCTGTGAGCAAATCGAAAGGGTCTCTGAGTGTTTGGGAGTAAAAACACATATGGGAATAGAACGTATAGAATACTTATGCTCCGGTCCGGTTACTGTAGAAGTCTTCCACCCAATCTTCCCGTAGGGACCGGAAGATGACCGGAATCGTTTTGCTGATTGGAACATCCTTTTAAGGGCAATGAAGGACTATGCAGGAATTTCAGACATCTACAAACAATCTCAAGAGGGGACCTGGACATTCTACAGTGGTTTCATAATGGATGGCACAATACCAAAGAGAAATGAGGGTCACATAGGGTCACTATAAACAAACACCTCTTTGGGATTGTACCATCTACTCTGAAACCACTGTACCTTCCAGGTTCACTCTCTTCTCTTCTCTTCCAGACCTGCCTTTGTTCATTCGGCGTCCGTCCCCACGCAGGGCATCGACTCGGTGTCGCTCAACCCAGACTCCGCCGCTGGGCGCAAATGTAAATCGCGGAGGCAGCGTTTATTGGTCTTCTGAAGGATTCCTCAAGCGAATTGCGGAATTGTGTTGATGAATCAACTACCCAGAACTTGAACATCTCATTCCAACGGTTGACTGTTGGGGATTTTGAGATCGACCAATTCTGAGGGGCTTCCATCAGCCTAAGAGTTCGTTGTGTTGAGCAACAGCCACAGCACGAGGACTGTCACTGAAACTCACTTCGAGAAGATCTGAGGTCATCCCCACCTGGCAATTCTTGGCGAAGAAATGAGCTGCGCCAGTAGCTGCGCCATGTTTCATGCCCCACAAGGCAGCATGAAGCGAGATTGACTGACCTGACCCCTCTCAAGAGGAGACTCTAGCCCCTCCAACCGACTCAGGCTTCTTTTGACCTCGTCTCATGTTGCCTGGAATGAGTTCAGTAGACTGGTGCAACACACATGAAGTTTGCTGGCCATTCCGGAGATCGATTTGAGACTTTGCTGGTCAACAGCCGCAAATTTTCAGCCAGACCATTGGCTTTCCTTTAGCCCGAAGGGTGAATTGTTTTGGATCTTCAATCTGCTCATGTGCAGACCCTTTTGAGCGTCTCTTGAGCACGACCCTCAGCTTCAGCTTCTCACCTGAAACACCCCAACAGCAGGTCCAGCCGGACAGTCACCCCACTGGTTTTTCTGGGTGAGAAACTGTTGAGCAGGGCATTTGTTGAGATTGACTTGAGGAGGACTCCGGAAAGACGTAGGCCAGCACACAAAGATCCGTGATATGGAGGTCGAGTGCTTGCTTGAAGAGCCAGGCTTAGATGAGGCATGCTTGCGCCAACGCATGGTGGTGCGAGGCTTGTAATTTGCCTATTGATACGCACAACGCGCAGTGTCTTCGGCATATCAAACAGCAAAAGCCATGAATCAATGAGCGCGCACGTGCTCTGACTTTACAAATATGGCTGTAACATGCTGTAACCAATATTTAACTATAGAGTACGTACCCAGCCTGTTTTTGTGGCAACTATGTTGCGCACGGTGTGACATGCTTACTTTGGAGGGTCCTGTGGCCTAAGGGATAAGTCGTTGGTAGTTGAAACCAAAGACTGAAGGTTTGAGTCCTGCCAGGATTAATTGGACGTCTTCTTTCTCCTATGTTTGATTGTTTTCTTGTTGGTTCTGTTTCTTTCCTAACTGAACTCTTCATCTCTATACTGGTCTACGGATGGCTGCCAGAACCTAATCTCATCAACTCAAAACGCTCGTGTTATAATGATTATAATGTCTTATAGATTTGCTTGTGGCAGGCATCTTTGGGATTGGGGTATTCCTGCCTGAAAAGGAGTTTTGCGTTGAGCAACTCTGCGAAAGAACTTACAGCTCTGGATTTTTCGGGGCCGCCCTATTCTAAGACCCTTTGGGAGTCCTCCTTGGCAAATGATCAACGAGCAGCGCAGCGCCGCAGCTGAAACCAGTGAATCAAATGCCGCGAAGCAAAAAACCGCCCGCCTTGGAGCTGATGACTATCAGGTACTCGAAGCCCACAAGTACTGTATCAGGACCATCCTGTTTGGGTGTCCTGGCTGGTACTACCCTACACTACTATCCGAGATCTCCAGCCAGGACACCCAGACAGGATGGTCCAGGTAGTTCATGTCAAAGCTGAGAAACACACTGCATAAGCCCAGAAAAAAAGCAAAAAGCAAAAAGCACCGAGTGAGTGTTTTGAGCTCGCCTAGTTGTGGAGCTTTTTCCCATGACTCGCGACCATGGATAGATGTTTTCGAGGGGGAACTTACTTCCAATGGTGGTTCACCAAAGCCAACAGTCTTATGGACAAGCCATGGAATCGGCTCTGTTGATCAACCAAGTCCCGTTTTCTCCGAGATCTTCTTGGACATTTTCATAGATCTCTTGCGCACCGGGACAGTGCTGAGCTAGTCGCACCCTGCGACCCGCGGACAGATCCCCAGAGCACCTTGCGCAGGAGTTGTGCGACCCGCTTCTTCTTGGCTTCAGCGATTTTGCTGCAAAGACCCGTTCGCCGGGCCCCGTTTCAAGCTCAGGCGAGTGACTGCGGGGTGACTGTGGGTGGACAGTTGGAAGGAAAAGGATGGAGACCTTCCACAGCCAACATGTAGTGCCCAAAGAATCCTTTGGACCCTCCACGACAGGGGTCCGGGCCTGAACCAAACCCAGTGGTGTTGCTTATTGCTTGCCCGGATGTTGAGGGATGTATTGCGTGCTTTTCGCAAAAGCTCTTGGCTTCTGGTGGCATCTTGAGTCTTCAGAACTTGGGGGTAGGGTCTCCGCTTTCATGTCGATACTAGTTGTTTGGAGAAGTTTGTTCTCTGATGTGTTGTGTTGTTGTTTTCCCGGAAGGTCCTGGAAGTATCATGTCAACCAGACTGAACATGTGATCTATCGTGGAATCAGCTGTTGAGCCCGGGAGTTGCCGACTTGCTTGCTTTGGTCAATTGAAGGGTCATCGAGTCATCAGATGGATATACAGATGGCTCCACTGGAATGAACAGGGCCTTAGGGCCTTAGGGCCTTGTGTTTGTTTTTTCCCAACATGTTAAAACTGGTTGTGCATGGCATGTGCCTTATGTGGACCCCGATCCCAGTGGGCGACCCGCCAGTGCGACCGGTAGGCCCCATGGCCGTCCACAGCAAGATGCCCGTGCGCCGTACGGCGGCTGCGGTGGCGCTCACCGGGATGAGCGCGATGAGCTATGGCAGCTATGGTTTTGTCGCGCCACAGGCCACGGTTCCTTCGCGATGCACTGATCGGTTGGTTTTCAACTGGTCGCTTTTGAAAAGGGAAGAGAGAACCAAATGGTAGCACTTCTCATCGATGTTTGCATTCAATTATAGATTATAAGTTATAAGTCGTAGAAGCCACATTCTGTATAATTTGCAACTCGAAGGTGACGGTGATACAGGTTTGTGTTTTGTGGTGTGCTGGACCGGGGTTGGTTTCCTGGCCAACCACTGCCTGCAGATGCCCAGCTCAATGACACGCACCTCCAGCGCCTCCAGCACTGCGCCAGCTCGCAGCGCGGCATCTTCAGCACGCGCGGTACCCAGCGCAGCGCCGGTTGCGGTGGCAGGTCTCGGTCTGCTGAGCCTGGCAGGGGCATCTGCGAGCCGGAGCAAGAAGTCCAAGAAATCCGTGGTATCCTTGCGCGCACGAGGGGGTGAGGAAGACACCCGAGTTTGCATTCCTTTGGAGGAGACAGAGAGTTGGTACCCGCTTTGCAAGTGCAGGTTGATGAGAGTCGGTTGGTTCAATCTCCCAGCTGCGCAGCATCAGAAGCCGCGACTCAGAGTCGGTGAGGCTTCCAGCACGAGTGAGTTTCCAAACGTCCACGAAAACCACCTGCCTTCGCAGTCGCACTGGCTTCTGCATCCGACCCAAAAGGTCCTGGCATGGGGAGAGTCGGCCCGTCAGGAGCTCCGGAACACGGATGTGGAGAAAGTCGGTGGCAAGAGCGCTTCCCTGGGTGAGATGATCTCGCAACTCTCGGACGTGGGCGTGCCAGTGCCAGGTGGGGACGGAGGATGGTTGAGGGATTTGCTCGATAACGGAGCTGGGTGGCGAAGGGAACCGGAGGGTGAACAGGTTCAGGGAAAAATTCTTTTGGTTCAGCCAGTGGGAAATTCCAAATAGGAGGTAAAGTGGTTCAAGTACGCCAGGTACCTGTGCAAATGGTTGAACATGGTTGAACTAAGGCGAGGGTGAGCTAGATATTTTGTAGACTCGAGGATCTTCATGTTCTGAATATGCTTTACCATGCTTTACCCAGTTTCGCCCAAGGACCTAAGGACTTGGCGTGATCTTGGGGACCGCAGGTGAGGTGGCTTTGTTCCACCTCTCACCATGCCCCGTTCGTGATGATGGTTTTGTTTGACCTTGTCTATTGGATCTATATTATTGCGCATTACATCATGTCTTTATGCTCTTGTGGAGGAGATAATAGGAGGATTACTTAGTACGTGACCATACTGCTTGAATCTGCTTGGAGCTGCAACAATGGGATACACAGTGTTTGAGGATCCTTGCATTTGCAGCACCCATAATATACGGTTGCTTGATTTGAAGGTCCTAGTCCTAGCCCTTGTTCATATCATATTCCATGCAGGACTTGGCCACTTCAGTAGTTCTCCAAGTCGCACCCAATCAACTTGAGGTGGCTTTAGCACCACTGCCTTTGCGTACAAGGAGTTTCTGGACAAAGGCGGCTCAGTTAGTTTCTTGCTGTTCCGTGCGGTGCTTGATCCCTCCATCCAGCCTCATCAGAAACCTCCACGCGATGCAAAGCCTCAAGTTACGCTTGGCGGCCAAACATTCTTCATGTTCAAGTCAGGGTGTTCTGAAAGTGGTTTTCCTGAGATGTCATCGCATGCAGAAACATGGGCAGCTGACTCTTTAATGCGATGTTCTTCGCGTCCCAACGACCTGCGAGCTGTTCACGTGAGGTGGCATCAATGAGTTCATCAACGACAAGCTTTCTGATGAGTCCATCTATGAAGATGTTGACAAACTCATGAAGGCGCCCCGACCGACGTGTCAGTGGCACAGTCAAGATAGTCGTCAAGCAGTCAGTCGATGAACCCCATGGATTTCACGCTCGGCCGTCATTTGAAGAAAAAAACGCATGTTCAGGTCGGCAAAGAGATTCGTGACAAGATCATGGACACTCCTTTCCAAGAAGACTTCGAAGAGGAGCTCAAAGCTACTTGGCAGAAGTAGGCTTTAGGCATATTTCCTTTTGAAGCTAGGACACACATCACTCTGGAACACTCTCAAACTGCAATGTGTTTCCACACACCCATGCTGGGTGTCACATGCCTCAGCAAATTTCAGCTGAATGATCAGAATGATCCTATCAGTTCCTTATACTGTAGTTTGTTCATGACTATTTTCCCATTGCCCGTCCCGTGTGTTTCGCTCGCCGCATCTTCCTCCCAGTCTCCTCCCCAGGCGCAGTGGCAGCGCGTCTCCGGCGGCGACGAGAAGTTCACCTTCGCCGTGCGCTCCTCGGCCACCGCGGAGGACCTGCCGGACGCCTCCTTCGCCGGGCAGCAGGAGACCTTCCTGAACGTCATGGGCTATAAGGACGTCCAGCACACCACATCGGGTGATGGGAGGGATTGGGATTGAGATGGAATGGTTGGAGTATGTTGGACGTGTGGTTGGGATGATGAGATTGAGATGGATTGAGTATATCATGGGTCGACTCGTTTTGGAGGGCGAACTGAAGGGCACCGACCTGAACTCCTGGGCTTCATAAGGTGGTGCCAGTTTTTCAGACATCAGCTACTGCGGAGGGGTCCGGGTCCAGGACGTTGCCATTGCTACGTACCGGCCTGCGGAAGGGAGTAGTCCACTGAACTGGGAGAGTTCACTATATAATTGTCGATTCTGGCTTGGCGTTTCCGTCCGAAGCGGAGTCCAGTGGAGCTGTGCTTCTTGTTTGCTTGGCATTCTGGAAGAAGAGAAGCAGGATAAACAATAGGAAAGAACGGGGTTTGCTTTCAAGCATGGACAAAAGCCATTTCTTTGCATAACAAACATGGCTCACTTTCAGGACATGAAAGAGAAGGTGCATTTGGTCTTCGCCTCCCTCTTCACCGACCGCGCCATC